CCCCCTGGCCCCATCGGCGCGCCGCCAACAGCCCGAGCCCGCACACAGGATGCCTAAACCTGTTCTCCGGCAGGCCTGACATCCAAACCTTCGCAGCGAGGGCACAGCCGGGCATTCGGGGAACCTGGTCGGCGCAGGTAGCCGGAGCTCGGCCATGCTGCCGTTGCGGGCGCGGCAGCTGTCTGCCAGTCCGGGGATACTGCGGGAGCCAGCTTTGGCTGGGATGGCCAGCCCTGTCGGCCGACGGGCGTTGGCATCCACAACCTCGAGCCTAGAGCAAGGATGCCCGCACCTGTCTCCAGGGGGCCCATCGGCACCCTACCCTCGCAACGAGGGCACGCCTAAGCATCAAGAGAACTTGGTCCGCATAAGTGGCCGAAGCTCAGCCAGGCAACGCAATGCCACTGCGGGCGCGCCGCGGCGCGTGCCCTCGCGCCGAGCGGCACGGGGTTGAGGCGCCCCTTAGGCCATATCATTTCAGTCCTCCTCCTCCTCCTCTTCCTCCTCCTCCTCCTCCTCCTCCTTCTCCTCGCCACCCCCCCTCCCTGGTCCGCATAGAAGGCTGGAGCTCGGCCATCCTGCCGTTGCGGGCGCGGCAGCTGTCTCGTCCTGGCATCCCGCGGGACCCAGCTCTGGCTTAGATGGCCAGCCCCGTCGGATGACGGGCGCTGGCATCCACAACCTAGAGCCTAGAGCCAGGATGCCCGCCCCTGTCTCCAGGGGCCCTGCGGCGCCCCGCCCTCGCAACGAGGGCAAAACTAGGCGCCCGAGGCCCGAGGAACCTGGCCCGCATAGATGGCCGAATCTCGGCCATCCTGCCGTTGCGGGCGCGGCAACTGCACGCCGCAACTGGCATCCCGTGGGGGCCAGGTTTAGCATGGGTGGCCACCCCTGTCGATGGACAGGCGTCGGCATCCAAAGGCGGCGCTCCGAAGGGGGCAGGAGGGCGGGGCTCGGCTCCCCCGCGGGCAGGGTGCTTCCCAGAAACCATGGGAGGACTTCTCTCTCGTCTTCGGGGGGATTATGCGAAACGCGTTTCTTACTAGATAGCCTTGCCCATCCCCCCCCCCGGCCCCTTCGGCGCGCCGCCAACATCTCGAGCCCGCAGACAGGGCGCCCGAATCCTGTCCTTTGGCAGGCCGGACATCCAAACCCTCGCAGCGAGGGCACAACTGGGCAGTCGGGAAAACTGGTCCGCGTAGATGGCCGGAGCTCGGCCATCCTGCCGTTGCGGGCGCGGCAGCTGTCTGCCAGTCCTGGTATCCTGCGGGAACCAGCCATATCATAGGTTGGCGGGCGTTGACATCAACGACCTCGAGCCTAGAGCCAGGATGCCCGCCCCTGTCTCCAGGGGGCTCATCGGCATCCTACCCTCACGACGAGGGCAAAACTAAGCACCCGAGGAACCTGGCCTGCATGGATGGCCGAAGCTCGGCCGTCCTGCCGTTGCGGGCGCGGCAGCGCGATGCCGCAACGGGTATCCCGTGGCACGCGCCCGCACGCCTAGTGGCACGGGGTTAAGGCGCCAATTGAGCCATATCATTTCAAGTCCTCCTCCTCCTCCGCCTCCTTCTCCTCCTCCTTCGGCCGCCTCCCTGGTCTGCGTAGATGGCCGGGGCTCGGCCATCCTGCCGTTGCGGGCGCGGCAGCTGTCTGCCAGTCCTGGTATCCCATTGGAACCAGCTCTGGCTTGGAAGGCCAGCCCCGTCGGTTCACGGGCGTTGGCATCCACGTCCTCGAGCCTAGAGCCAGGATGCCCGCCTCTGCCTTCAGGGGCCCAGCGGCGCCCCGCCCTCGCAGCGAGCGCGAAACTAGGCACCAGAGGAAGCCGGTCCGCATAGATGGCCGAAGCTCGGCCATCCTGACGTCGCGGGCGCGGCAACTGCATGCCACTACGGGCACCCCGTGGCATGTGCCCCCACGTCGAGTGGTACGGGCTTAAAGGCGCCCCTAAGTCATATGACTTCAAGTACCCCTCCTCCTCCTCCTCCTCCTCCTCCTCCTCCTCCTCCTCCTCCTCCTCCTCCTCCGCCTCCTCCTCCTCCTCCTCCTCCCTCTCCTCCCCCTCCCCCCTCCATGGTCCGCGTAGATGGCAGGAGCTCGGCCATCCTGCCGTTGCGGGCGCGGCAGCTGTCTGCCAGTCCCGGCATCCTGTGGGAACCACCTCTGCCTTGGATGGCCAGCCCTGTCGGTTGATGGGCGTTGGCATCCACAACCTAGAGCCCAGAGCCAGGATGCCCGCCCCTGTCTCCAGGGGCCCCGCGGCACCCTGCCTCGCAGCGAAGGCGAAACTAGGCACCAGAGGAAGCCGGTCCGCATAGATGGCCGAAGCTCGGCCATCCTGCCGTCGCGGGCGCGGCAACTGCAAGCCACTACGGGTATTCCGTGGGGGCCAGATTTGGCTTGGATGGCCACCCCCATCGATGGGCAGGCGCCGGCATCCAAATGCGGCGCACCGAAGGGGGCAGGAGGACGGGGCTAGGCTTCCCAGCAGGCAGGGTGCTTCTCAGAAGTCCTGGGGGGACTCTTCTCTCGTCCTCCAGGGGGTTCTGTGAATCGCGTTCTCACTAGACAGTCATGCCCATTTCCCACCCTGGCCCCTTCGGCGCGCCGCCAACATCTCGAGCCCACAGCCAGCATGCCTAAACCTGTTCTGCGGCACGCCCGACATCCAAACCCTCGCAACGAGTCATATAATTCCTCCTCCTCCTCCTCTTCCTCCTCCTCCTCCTCGTCCCAACCCCCTTCCCTGGTCCGCGTAGATGGCCGGAGCTCGGCCATCCTGCCGTTGCAGCCGCGGCAGCTGTCTGCCAGTCCTGGTTCCCTGCGGGAACCAGCTCTGGCTTGGAAGGCCAGCCCCGAACATGAGCCACGATTGGGGCAACGTTAACCGGACATACATCTGCGCCTTTTGTATACGCACACGCTGGCCCGTCCCAAAATGGAAGCCCAAAGGTCCTCCTCCTCCTCCTCATCCTCCCGAACATGATGGACAAACCACCTCAGGCTCTACGCCGGGATTGCTCTGACGCAAGATTTGGTGGTGCGGCGAGGGGATGTTTACAAGGGAAGAAGATGGGGGAACTTGTTTGTAAGGATGTGAGGAGGAAAGGGACCAGAGTAAGCCCAGGATGCGTGAGCGTTGATGCGTTACGCCCCCCATGTAAGGAGGAGGGGTGAAGGAGGGAGGGATAGGAGGAGGGAGGTGACTACCATGTGCTGGGGAAGCGGAGACAGGGAAGCGGCCGACCCGAGGAGGAGCAGAGGGAGGAAGATTCTGCGCAGCCTCTGAATGACCGCGCCTGCTCAGATAAGAGCAGGTGGCTCGAGCGGTGCTGGTGCTAGAACCCGACCGAAACACTTGAGGGGGCCCAGCGCCAGCGCCACCAGGGGTGCAGACGGCCGCCGGCGGCCGTCAACACCACCGCCACGGGACGAGCCCGCGAGCCCGGCCCCGAGTCCATGCGGTAAGACCACGGCACCTGAAGCCGAGACCCGGGCAGTGTAACCGCGAAGCGACTATGCCCCCTCCACCACAGGGTCAATGTCAGGGCCACGGTCAACCCCGCCGCCCCAGTGGGCATGCCGCGCGCGGGAACTCACGGGCACGAAGGCCGACGACTGCCGAGCTGCCACGACGACCCCAAAGCCTGCTGGCTCCTCCTGCTCTCAAGCCCTGGAGGGTTTCGTGGTCATGAAGCAGGAGCATGGAGGCTTTTCAAACTGAGCCGTTTCTTCACGGTCCCAAGGCCAGGTCAGGGGCCCCAGAGCCCGAGGCGCGGCCGCGCGCCGCGGGCCGAAAGGGCTAGGAGAAGTAGGAAGAGCGGCGTAGGGAGGCGCAGCAGGCCAGTACGGATACGAAGATGCCTCGGCCATCGCCGCCCAAGGGCGACATTTAGGCTGTGGAACGCGGCGCCGCACGTGCCGTCCTGCCCACCATGGCGTGGACGATCTGCCTTCTCGGTCAGATGCCAGCCAACCACGATGACAACTAATATCCCCACTGGGCGATAACAGGATAGGATACACGCCACTGCACACTGACACCCTCCGATGAATGTTGCATGCGCCTTCAGGGAAGGCGGCGGTGCATGAAGTCGCTGGCTCACACTGGCGATTTATACACCGCCACCCTCCCCTGAGGCTGAGGAGCAATCCGTTGCAGGGTGTCAGTGTCCATACTTCTGTTAGGCGGTGGACAAACCTCCCTTTAGTAAACCTCCCTTTAGTGAAAACGGCCTGGGCCCGAAGCCGACGGACCTGGACCCGCAAAATTGACGGCCGCGACGCCCTCTCGCGAACCGAAAACGGCCAATTCCCTAATCGACGTCTCAGGGTAGGAGGTCTGTCCACCCCCAATCTGTGGGGAAGGATGCAGGACCCATCGGGCGCCCCTCTCCTTCCCCGACGGCAGTGCCGAGGTCTGCTGGGCCCTGCTTCCTAGCAGCTCGCGACTTCTCGCCAAACGCGCGGGCCCACGGCAGGACGGGCAGGCTCCGGCTCGGCAGCGGGCCCAGCGGCTCGCAGCTTGTGGCGGCAACCGTGAGCGACCAGGAGAACGGGGATCTGCCATGGGGCTGCAACAGACATGTAGAAGGAGTCGATCAGAGGTGGGGCGAAGTAGTTCGAAGATGTTGGAGTTGGATTGAGCGCTAGGATTGTATCAGAGCTGGGTTGAGCCATCGTCATGCTGCGCGCAGATGTGAGAAAGCACGACGGCCAGCCACAACGGGATCAGTGGAAAGCAACGCGCGGCCGGCGGGCCCCTCGGCGCGTGGCTCTGTTTGGAGCGGATTCCGTGCACACCCCCTCATAAAAAAAAACAAAAATAAAAAATACACCAACAATGCTCAAACATAGAAACAATCGTCCCTATATTTTTTTTGTAATTTTGAAGATTCCTCCTGTAGAGGGACAGGCCCGACTTAAACCTACGAGAGGGAAGTCTGGGCGCAGTGCTCTGCCAGGCACCCCGCTCCGCGCGCGGCACCGCGCGCGTCCAGCGCGGCGAGCTCTGGGCGCGCCAGGAAGAGCTGGCGGTGGGCGAGCTCGAGGTCCTCGGCGCGGCAGAGCAAGGATTGGAGGCCTGGAAATGGGCACCAACACCAACACAGGGGTATGCCTCCACAGGGGGACGATGATCCTAGATTTCGGGGTTGGTGGTAATATTTCGGCCCTTGGAAGCCAGAATGTTACCACCATCACCGAGATCGGGATCTTCTTCCCCCGGTGGAGGCACACCGCCGAAATTGGTGGTGTCAACCTCGAGGCCTGCGAAAGGTCATGGATGAAAAGAGTACGATGACCACGACCAAGAATCAGCGCGGAAGCGTCGGTGCCATCTTGGTCACCGTCCATCTTGGTCACCGTCGATTCGTGGATCCTCCGCGCGGATCGGCGACGGCCGGCATGGGTCGTGGCCAAGGTCGCGTCGACAAGAGCCAGCGACGTCTTGGCCATGGCCCACGTGCTGCTTCCTCGAGGTCAGGACACCCCCCTCGACGAGGGTCGAGGCTCCCATTGCATCCCGCGGACCGGTCTCTCCCAGCTCCGGGCCGCTGCTCCTCGGCTCTGGCCACTGGGGGCCGCCCTCGGAACCCGGAGGGGCCATCCGGAACGGAGAGCCGGGGGCGCAGAGAGGGCACTTTGCCTTCAATCTCGGGTGGCGGCGCGCACAAGGGGGTGGGGGGAGGGGGGAGGGCTTCTCAGAAGGAGGCTGCTGCTTAGAAGTCGCCGGCCTTACATCTACAGACAAGGCCCGCGCCTTCTGAGAAGCGGGGGTGCTTCTAAGAAGCCCTCCCCCCTCCCCCCACCACCCTCTGCGCGTGGCTGACTCAGGTGACCCAGACATCCGTCGATCTGTGTGTGTGTGTGTGTTTTTTTTGAAAACGCGGTCCCAGAGGTCCCGACCCCTTTCCCGAGCGTGGTTTTCGTCCCCCATCCATTTCTGCTTGTCCCCGGGCCCGACTATGGGCCCCAGCGGCCGACATCCAGGAACGTCAGACGGATTGAAAAAATCAGATCCTCGGATCTCCACAGAGTTTCATTGCACGGCATCCCCCCCTTGATGAACCAGAAAAGACCCCCTAACCCTTTGGGGGGGGCCTAAGGTAGGAGGGCCAAAATCATTAGGGATAAGGAATCTTTTCCGCAGATGCATCAAACCAAACCGCCCAGATCTGTTATCCCTAATGCGAAGACGGGGACCTCAGTGAGCCGCGTCTTCACTGTGATTAGGGTTCAAGGTTCTTTTGTGCTCGATGACCTTACGCAAGTAAACCTGCCCGAGTCCGAAGACACATTGCCTCGAGACGACCACTCGGGAAGCCTGGCTTCGGAGAGGGGGCCGATCGTGGGCAACCAGGAGGGGGCGTCCAAGAGGAAGGCGTCCAAGAGGGAGGCGTCCAATGGAAGGCGTCCAAGAGGGAGGCATCCAAGAGGAAGGCGTCCAAGAGGGAGGCGTCCAAGAGGGAGGCGTCCAAGAGGGAGGCGTCCAAAAGGGAGGCGTCCAAAAGGAAGGCGTCCAAGAGGAAGGCGTCCAAGAGGGAGGCGTCCAAGAGGGGGCGTCCAAGAGGGAGGCGTCCAAGAGGGGCATCCAAGAGGGAGGCGTCCAAGAGGGAGGCATCCAAGAGGGAGGCGTGCTAGAGGGGGCGTCCAAGAGAAAGGCATCCAAGAGGGAGACCTCCATCAGGGAGACGTCCAAGAGGGAGGTGTCCAAGAGGGAGGCGTCCAAGAGGGAGGCGTCCAAGAGGGAGGCGTCCAAGAGGGGGCGTCCAAGAGGGAGGCCTCCATCAGGGAGGCGTCCGAAAGGAAGGCGTCCAAGAGGGGGCGTCCAAGAGGGAGGCGTCCAAGAGGGAGGCGTCCAAGAGGGAGCGTCCAAGAGGGGGCGTCCAAGAGGGAGGCGTCCAAGCGCGAGGCGTCAAAGAGGAGTGTTCGCAAATCATGGCCAAAGGGACGTGCGCGGCCGAGGTGGGGGTGGGGGTGAATTGACGTACTGAGAGAAGAAGGGGTGGCCATTAAATCAGGGGAGACACCATGGCTCCGGCCATGATATCTGCGCCCCCCTCAGGAGTCATGCCCCCCCTCCTGGACGCCCCCGAGACAAGGTCGCTATGCCCCCTGCAGCCCTCCGGAGACCCCCCATGGGCCGTCCCGGGCGGAGAGCCCAGAATCGAATCGACAAGTCGGATCGGCGATCGAAATCAGTCGGATCGGCGGAAATCGGCAGTCAAGTCGGGGGAAGTCGAATCGGCGGGAATCGGCAGGCTAGTAGGCCTCCAAGGAACTATCGGAACCCAACTCGGAATCCGAAATCGAATCGGACTCGGAGGCCATCGAAGTCGAATCGAAGCGAATCGGAGGAATCGAGACGAGCCCTGCCTGGGGGGGGGGCTTTGCAAACGCCTCGCGCAGAGCGCGGAGGCCTCGCGCAGAGCGTGGAGGCGCGGTCGTGTGTGCGCTCCCTCGCGGCGTATCCCCTGGAGAGGAGCGCCTCTCTGGCCCAGGCCGTCCTCTTGGACGTCCCCGAGACGAGATCGCTGTGCCTCCTGCAGCTCTCCGGAGACCCCCCTCCTCCTCCTCCTCCGCCTCCTCCTCCTCCGCCTCCTCCTCCTCCTCCGCCTCCTCCTCCTCCTCCGCCTCCTCCTCCTCCTCCGCCTCCTCCTCCTCCTCCGCTTCCTCCTCCTCCTCCTCCTCCTCCTCCTCCTCCTCCTCCTCCTCTTCCTCCGCTTCCTCCGCTTCCTCCTCCTTCTCCTCCTCCTCCTCCTCCTCCTCCGGGCCGTCCTGGGGGGGCCTTTGCGAACGCCCCGCGCAGAGCGCGGAGGCGCGGTTGTCTCTGTGCGCTCCCGCGCGGCGTATCCCCTGGAGAGGAGCGCATCCCGCTGGCCCGGGCCGCGAAGCGCGAGAGGCGCGGGAGGTTTCGCGCCCCTGCGGCAATAGAAAGAAGAAGAATAATACGAATAATAAGAAGAAGAAAGAAGAATAATAATACTAAGAAAAACAAGAAAAAGACGCCGAAGAAGAAGAAGCGGTGGAGATGGGCGGAAGCACTCGGGAGAGGAGGCGCACAGGGGCAGGGTGAAGCAGAGAAAGCGAAGCAAGGGGAGAGGGAGAGGGAATCGGAGGGGGTGCCGAAACACTCGGATCAGGCACCCGCAGCTCGCCAACGATACAGCTGCCTCCGCGCGGCGCAAGAACATGCGGCTCTCAGGCGGTGGTAGCATGCCAAAGTACAAATGTCGCGTGCTTTGTTAACTTACCAACGAATATCCCCCCCTCTTGCTCACACTCATCGTGCCATTCCTGTTGCATTCCCTCCTCCTCTTCTGTTGGTTCTTCCCCCTCTTGCCGAGTAAAGGGTCCTCGCAGATCTTGTTGACCCTGGAGAAGTCCGCCTGGCACTGGTCCACCCGCCTGACTCGGGAGACGCCAACGATTCGCATACACCGATCCTGGCCTAGGAACAGCCTGATCAGGATCGGTAATAAAAAACGACGAAAATAAAAAGTAGAACCAACCCGAAGACGAGAAGGGGAGCGATAGTCATCTGGCTACCAGGATGAGCCTCGAGAACCAAATTGCTGACCGAGTCGTAGTAGCCCCATCGGCACGTCCAGGCCACGCTGGTTCTGGGCCCAAGATGGGTTAGCTATGAGGAGAAACGCACCAAGGCGCGGCGTCCTCACGCGATATCTTGCGCGGGCCGCCAGCGCGACACGCCGCGTGTAGAGAGGGGCGATTGCCAACGACCTTACCAAGACAGCTTGCGCGCGAATGTCTGCGTAATCGACCCCACGACGTACCCAGAGGCACACCCAGTCCTCCTCCTCCTTTCCTCGGCGCTTGGCAAACTTGAACATTCAATTATGCCGCTCCCGACCCCCTCCGATAAGTTCCAAAGGACCAATGTTTCGGCCGAGCCGTTTGTTGACGGCACTGGCGAATCGAAAGGGCCACCGGGCGGCGATAATAAAAACACACTACGGCGTTTCGTTTCAAGTCGCCAGCACGTTTTGGTCCTCGCTCAGAATCCAGCCACCCTGGGGCGCTGTGACGACGTGTGGCTCCCCCATATGACCCACAACAAAAGCAAGAACTTCTCATTGTGACGGGGGGGATGGGTCATAGTGTAAGCGGGTTCTGATCACAGACTGTTCGTCCTGAGCCGTTTTCTGAGGGCCACTGGACGGAGGGCCCCAGCAACCCGACAAAGGCGCAAAAACTCCAGAACCGCAAAACTCAAGAAGCTCCGTGCCGCCCCATGGGGCATCTGCCACGTGCCAACTCTTTTCCTGGAGCGCGTTGGATCATAACTTCGATTGGGAGTACATCCGTGGCGACGGGCCAGGGGCCCGACAAAGGCAACAACAACTCCAGAATCGCGCCCCTCCAGGATCGTACAGTGGAGGCCCGACCACAAGGAACCTTCCACAAGAAACCCAATCCTGAGACCCCGGGACATTTGGCGTGGGAGCGTCGCACTCTTCATCGTTTCAGTTCGCATGCTTGGGCCTCCATGGGCCCTTACCAGGCCACGGGACGGGCCTCGGGACCGTCGGACAAACGGCTCGGGATGAAAACAAATGTCCCGGGAATGGGCCCGAGGCAAGTGATCTCCTCACATCTCCGCAGAGATCAGCCTGCAGTGTGTCCAAGTCGAGCGAGCAGACTCACAGAGGAACACGCAGCACAAACAACGAAATTGCCCACATGCTCGAACGACGACAATGTTTGCGGCGGGCCTGGGTGGAAGCGAGAAGGGGCGGGCCTTCTCAGAAGTCTCGGAAGTCCCCCAGCCTTCTACAAAGTTTTCGGAGCCTTCCCGGAAGACGCACAAGGCTTCCCAGAAGGCGCGAGGGCTTCTGAGAAATCCTGGCTTCTGAGGAATCTTCTCACTTCCCCCCCTCGCTCGCCGCCGATGTGCGCCGCTCGGGACCTCGAATCCGAGGTTGCAGGAGGAGGTGGGAGGAGGTGGGATGGGGGAGGAGGTGTTGTTTGACCTCGAGAGGCCCACCACATAAGCCTCAAGGGTGTCTGCTCACCACTCCGGTGGGACATGCAGCGAGCAAAACGTGCCGAGCAGCAGGCACAAGACAGAGCTCACACACGGCGAAACGCCCAAGGAGCTGACATCACCAGCAGAAGCAGGAGAGGCCCAGGTCAGCTGCACAAGACGTCTTCCTCGCCTGCAAAAGCAGGCTGGGTTTGGCAAGGGTATGGTTGGGCACCTGACGTGAGACCGCCCCCAGAGACCCAAGCCAGGGTGGCCCCTCACTGGCACACGAGGCCCAAGGGGGCCAAGCTACACCAGGATGGGGGCGGACATGCAACAGGTGACGCACGGAACGGGGCGCAGTGCTGGACTCCACAGACATGGCTGCGCCTCCGCGCCATGCACTGCAGCTCTCCTAAATTGGCATGTCAAGGTGGCGCACAGTACCGCATCCGCCACCTGACTGTCCAAACCCCTCAAAGGGAAAAGACCAGCATGCTATCTTTTCCAACCTTAGCGGTGGCCGCCCCATGGAGCTGAGAGGGCCCCGAGACAGAGGAGGAGGAGGAGGAGAAGAAGGAGAAGGAGGAGAAGGAGGAGGAGGGAGAGGAGGAGGAAGAGAAGGTGGAGGAGGAGGAGGAGGAGGAGGAGGAGGAGGAGGAGGGACCCTCTCCTCCGAGGCTGCATCTTGTTCGCGAAGTCGGCCCCCCGGACTTCGACCACGGCCGGACCCAGGACAGAGGAGCATCATCTTCAAGAACACGAGGCCCTCCGCTGGCGAGACTGGAGAACACTCGAGGGTACCCTGCCACAGGATGCACAAGAACATTCAACAAACACGAGGGTACCCTCCACCAGGATGCCCAGGAGAGCATTCGAGGGTATCCTCCCCCAGGATGCACAAGAACATCCCACAAACACGAAGAGCAGAAGGGCAGCCTCCCCGAAGCGCGCTCGATCTTGCACCTCGGCCTGGACCGTACTGCCCCAGGGCGGGCTTCACAATCAGAATCGTCATGCGACGGCCCTGGGGCCAGGCAAAGGCCCCCAGCAGCCGAGAACGACGAAAAAACCGGCCGTGGGCCATCGCGATCTTTGTTACGGGGGGGCCAATGATGAGGGGGGCGTCCAGGCGCGGGGTTAACAAATCATGGCCGAGGCATGTGAGCGGCCGAGGGGGGCCCGGGGACGTGTTGAAAGACGAGGAGGGGGCCCTGGGCCATGGCATCCCCCCCCCCCCACACCTCCGAATCATCACCCCTCTCTGGGCCACCCCCGGTGGCGGCGACGGCTGGCTCCTCCCCTTCCCCCCGAGGACGCCTCCTCAGCTGGCCGAGCAGCGGTGGCTCCTCGGAGAAGCGCCCCTGCACGGGAGGTGGCCGAGCGGCCGACTGGGGGGAGCGAGGGAGGGCAAGAGAGGGAACGAGCGAGGGGGAGAGGGGGGGGAGGGAAGGGGGTATGGGAGGGGGGAGGGGAGGGGGGAGGGGAGAGAGTGCGTGGTTTTCCCGTTGGGTCGTGCTAGTAGACCTGACACAAGCCTACTTGTACGACTCGGCGGAGTCCTGCCAATCGGGCCTCAGTACGCCTACTGGTACGACCTGGGGGTCCTACTAGCACGCCAAAATGGAGCCTCTTAGAACGACCCGCTGATGGAAGGAAGTCCTACTAAATACGCCTAGTAATACACCCGGGGGGATCCTACTAGCACGCCAAAGTAAGCACACCAGTACGATCCGCGGTCGGAGGAAGGTCCTACTCGTAGGGGTTGAATTCACTAGTACGACCGGGGACTCCTACTAGTGCGCCAGAATAAGGCTACTGATCTAGTACGACCACCAGGGAGACATTGCGAGGATGTCTCAAGCGGGGGCGTCGGGGCGGATTTGCGAGGACTTTTCGAGCTTGGGCCCCCTTCTGCTGGTCGCACTGGTAACCTTAAATAGCCCTCCTACTACGCCTCCCCCCTCCCCAGCCGCTTGGAGTCGTACTCAAACGCCAGAGCAGTCCTACTACTAGCCCCCGCCGCGGCGGCATTGTGAGGATGTCTCGAGCGGGGGCCCTCTCCGCTGTACTAGTAGGCCAAAGTGGCCCTACTAGTACGCCCTGGCCAGGGCCCCAGGGTATCCCTACTAATAGCTAGCGCCACGGCGGACTGGTGAGGATGTCTTGAACAAGAACCCACTGGGCTGGTCGTACTGCTTGGCTTAACGAGCCCCAGGTCACTTACCAGGATCCTGGGGCCGTACTTATGAGCGCTCCAGAGAAAGCCCTACTAACAGCCCCCGCCGGGGCGAAAGTTCGAGGATGTCTCGAGCGGGGAGCCTCGCCACCGATCACACATCTAGACCTAAGCAGCCTCTGGGGCCCTACTAGTAGCCCTCACCGGGGCGGAATCGTGAGGATGACTCAAGCGGGGGCCCGCTCCGCCAGTCGTACAAACTAGTATGTCAAAATGGCCCTACGAATACCCCCCAACCCCCCAGCGTCCTCTGGTCCTACTAATTAAGGCTACTCTGACACTAACAATACGCCCGAAGATGTTTCACGCGGGGGCCCTCTCCGCCAGTCGTACTAGCAGGCCGACCTACTAGCACGCCCCAGCCAGCCCCCCCGCCAGCATCCTGGGGACGTACTAGTACGGCTAATCTGACCCTAGCAATTGGCCTCCGAATTGTGAGGATGTCCCCTCTCCGCCGGTCATGCTCGCTTGGCCGAGAGAGCCATACTATACGCCCTCGCCAGCGCGCCCCCCCTCCGGGGGGCCGTACCAGAACGCCCTGGCCAGCCCCACCCCAGGGGCCGTACCAGAACGCCAATAGCCCCACCCCAGGGGCCCCACCCCAGGGGCCGTACCAGCCCACCCCAGGGGCCGGACCAGACCGCCAGGGTGGAATTGTGATGATGTTTCGGTTGGAGGCCCTCTCCGCCGGTCGTAGTCGTAGGGCCGCAAGCGTGCTAGTACGAGCGCGCGGCGTACTAGTAGGGCGAAGTGGGTGTACTGGTCAGATCTCCCAGGGCAAACAAGTAGGGCGGTGTAGGCGCGCTAATACGACAGCAGCGCACAAGGTCTTCTTGTACGAATACGGCTATGTAAGCGTACTAGTACTACCGTGCGGCGTACTAGTAGGAAAACGTCGGCACGTAATCGTCCTTGTACGACCGCACGGTGTACTAGTAGGCCGAAGTAAGCGCACTTGTACGATCTCGCAGGGCGTACTCGTATGGCTAGCTAGGCAAACGAGTACAACGGCGGCGAGCGAGGTCTATCGTACGAGTACGGCGACGTAGGCGTACTAGAGGAAGGGGGTCATGAGGGAGTGAAGGAGGGAAGATGGGGAGGACGAGGGTAACATTCCTCCTCAATGTCAGGGTACTCGTCCTTGTCCTCCTCCTCCGTCCTTGAACCGAAGCCGCTGAGGTGTCAACCTCCGCCTCCTCTTCCTACATGCATCGCTTCTCCTTGTAAGTAACTCCTCCCTGTCACGCCCCCAGACGTGTCAGCAGGGCGGGCCGGGCCTTTCCAGAGACTTTCTCAATGATGTATCATCCTGAAGCTCGAATTTTGCGACGACTGTATGGATGTAAAGAGGTTGCTTTACAGTTGGGCTCTAGCCTGAGGGCCACCCACGTTTGTCTTTAAAGCTTACACCTGTAAAAGGATGAAGCACGGTTCCCTTTCAAAATGGGGTTCTCGCCTCAGCGCCGCACACCTTCGCCTTAAAAGCTTCCAGCAGCTAGAAAGATGGCGGAAGTCGTGCAAACAAACAGCATGTCGCTTACGTCTTGCGAGTGTGCAACATATAGAAGAAATAATGGCAATTCCCGTTCAGAATGGGGCTCCCCCCTCAGCGCCACCCACACTCGTCTGAAAGCTTGAGACAGATTGAAGGATGATGGGCGGTTCCTGTTCAAAATGGGGCTCTCCTCGCACACTCTTCTTAACACATGTCCGTCACTGCGCTTGCAGCGGTTGGTGTGTTGTGGGTGCATGTTGTCTTCCAACCATTCTGACATGTTAGGCCTTCGTGTCGAACCAGCAACGCCCCGCGGCTTAATTGCTTCCGTCCCTCCCTCCAGCCCTCCCTCTTCTTCTTCCCATTCCTCCCCCTTCTCCGCCTCCTCCTCCTCCTCCTCCCTCGCCATCGTCATCGTCGTCGTCGTCATCAGCATCAGCAGCAGCATCAACATCATCATCAGCAGCACCATCACCATCACCATCACCATCACCATCACCATCACCATCGCCATCACCATTACCAGCACCATCGCTGTCGTCGTCGTGATCATCAGCGCTACACAATCATCATCATCATCATCATCATCATCATCATCATCATCATCATCATCATCATCATCATCATCATCATCATCATCATCATCTTCCGCATCATCACCATCATCATCCGCATCATCACCATCATCACCATCATGAGCAGCAGCAACAGCAGCTGCAGCATCAGCACCATCATCAACAACACCCGCAGCACCACCATCGCCCGCATCATCAGCACCATCAGCATCATCATCATCATCATCACCATCAGCAGCATCATCATCATCAGCATCATCGTCATCATCATGACCACCACCATCATCACCGTTCTCATCATCCTCCTCGTCCTCATCATCAGCAGCAACCCTCATCATCGATCAGCATCTTCATCACAACCACCACCATCATTATCAGCATCATCATCACCAGTATCACCAGCATCATCATCATCTTCATAATCATCAGCATCATCTTCAACATCATCATCACCAACATCGTCATCATCAACATTACCAACATCACCACCACCACCATCAACATCATCGACAGCAGCATCATCCGTGTCATCACCATCAGCATCATCATCATCATCATCATCATCATCATCATCATCTTCAGCCCCATCAACATCAGCATCAGTACGATCACCATCATCAGTCACATGTAGGCACACCCCTCATACGCTTCGTGGCCCCATAGGGAGTTCCACCGACGGCCTCAGTGAAGGGTTCGCATGGCGCCACGACACCACTTTCGGCACACCCCATCGCACTCCTCGTGGCCCAACAGGGAGCTCCGCCAATGGCCCAAATGGCGGGCTCGCATGGCGCCACGGAACCCTGTCCAGCACACCCATCACACGTTTCGTGACACATCAGGGAGCTCCACCGAAGGCCCGAGTGGCAGGGGTCACATGGCGCCGCCGCGCCTATTTCGGCACCCCCCGCACGCTTCGCAGCCCCATAGCGAAAGCCCAAGTGGCAGTGTTCGCACGGCGCCACCGTACAAATTTCGGCACACCCATCACAAGCTTCGTGGCCCCATACGGAGCTCCACCGAGGGCCCCAATGGCAGGGTTCGCACGGCGTCCCCGCACCCCTTTCGCCACACCCCGTGGCCCCATAGGGAGCTGCCCGTCTTTCGACCCACCTGCTGCCTTGCGGTACTCGCACCCGCAAATGTTTGGGCCCGTCGCCCGGAAATTTCTGCCACCGCCGCTCGCTGTGAAGCAGTGCGCAAGTACGCCGCCTCCGCATCCAGCCCACCAACACGAACCCAGTCCAACCATGCGTTCTTTGCACTCGAGATTTCTTCCCAGACATTTGCTGTCTTGGACACCAGCGTAGAGCTTTCCCTCGGCAAGCTCGGCCTGCGTTCCCGGCTTCGACCTGGCGCTCCCCTTCCGAGTCCAGTGTAGCAGGGAGGCAGGCTGAGCCAACCTCTTTCCCATATCTGTGGCTGGGCAGCCCCCCAGTCTTTTCACATCAAACATGCGTCAACATGAGAACCGAAGTGCGGGGGCGGGGGCGGGGAACCTGCCCACCCACCCCCCACGGGGCGCTCGCCCGCCCCCCTCGCGCCGCCCTCCCCCCACCCCCTGCCACCATGGCGGCCCCACGAAGGCCTCTGAGAACGCCAGGATGGCCTCAGGTGGCCTGCAAGACGGCCAAGTCGGACAAAGGTGGCCACACACAGCATCCACGACGGTCCAGAAGGCCCACAAGAAGACGTCCCAATAGGCCTCCAAGCGGATCCCCAGGAGGGACCGAAGATGCCAAAATCATGGACGTCCCCGATGCCTCTCCTCTGACAGAGCAGTCACGCATTGTCGGGCTTCCGAAAGCCCAAGACAGCCGAAGAGGCATCCAAAATGGCCCCAGGACGGCCAAAGGGGCAAGCAAGAAAGCCCGAGACGGCCCAAACAGAGCCCAAATAAGGCCCAAACGATATCCGATGCGGCGCTAAAGAGCATTAAGATCTTGCCGGCGCTTGACGCTTGGGCGCTTGTCGGACGATCCGCAGAAATCTGCGAAAACCAGATGGAGTCTGGGAGAATCCGGAAGAATCTGCAAGAATCTGGGGCAATTCGGAAGAATCTGGAAGAATCTGCAGGAATCGTTCATCACCACCACCACCACCACCACCACCATCATCATCATCATCATCACCATCATCACCATCATCACCATCATCGTCATCGTGATCACCATCATCATCATCATCATCATCAGCATCATCATCATCATCATCAGCATCAGCATCAGCATCATCATCATCATCATCATCATCATCATCATCATCATCATCATCATCATCATCATCATCATCATAATCATCATCATCATCATCAACATCATCATCATCATCATCATCATCATCATCATCATCATCATCATCATCCCCCCTCCTCCTCCTCCTCATCTTCCTCCACGTCCTCCTCCTCCTCTTCCTCCTCCTCCTCCTTCTCCTCCTCCTCCTCCTGCTCCCCCTCTTCCTCCTCCTCCTCCTCCTCCTCCTTCTCCTTCTCCTCCTCCTCCTGCTCCTCCTCTTCCTCCTCCTCCTCTTGTTCCTGCTCCTCCTCCTCCTCCCCCTTCTCCTCCTTCTCCTCCTCCTCTTCCTCCTCCTCCTCTTATACGGACAATTGATAATCCGAAGAGTACGACTGAGAATAAGAGTGCTACTCAGAACACGAATAAGCAAAACAACGACAATAATAAGAACACGACTGGGAATAACATCAACAACAAAAATATCATACACGTAGAAGAACAGAGAACACACATATGGAAAAGATAAGCATGATAATAAGATGACAAGGGAATGAAAAAGGACATGAAAAAAAAGAATAAGCATGCGTAAGTAAAATGATAAAAGTGAAACTATGACTATGCCTACGACTGAAACGAATACTGCCACTAATAAAAAACATGGTAATAATAAGAGCAATGGCAATGACAAACACGATACGAATAACAACTCGCTGCAACTCATGATCGGACCAATAAGAGAAATCATAATACTATAAGGAAAACTAAGAATTCGAAATACGATAAACATGATGACATATACAAAGATTACGACTACGAATAATATTCATAATAAGATTAATAGTACTAAACAACAAATGCGAATAATAATACGTAAAAATAATTAGGGATGCGAATAGGAAACGGATTGAGAATTAGAAATATGAATAGGAATGATCATAACACGAATACTAATACTGAGAAAATATATCCAGGGAACCAGGTCCAGAGAATAACATGTCAGATCCAGAACCAGATCCAAAGAATCAGACGCACAGAACCAGATCCACCACAGACCACCACCATCACCACGACGACAACCACGACTGCGGCGACCCCCCGCGGCGCCGGCTCCGCCCGCGACCCGCGCGTGGCGTTCACCGCCGCGTCCGCGGCCCACTGCGCGGCCGCCTGGGCGGCCTGGCCGCGGGGGGGAAGGGGGGGGCGCATCGTTGCGAGGGAGGGTCGAGCTCTGGAGCTCTGTGGCAGCTCATCGACGCTAAACCGACGCTGAATCGGTGGCTTGTCATCGATCTCCGGACGCTAGCGCACGCTCAGACACCCTAAGGTACAGTTTCGAGGACATAGAAGGCTCCCATGAGTTGCTGCCGAGGGGGGTCGGAGGAGGTCGAGCTCTCGAGAGGTCGGCTGAGGTCACGAGCGGCGACCGTATCCGTCTTCACGCCCTCGCTGTCTGGATTCCAGGCTAGGTTCCCGTGGATACGCGGCGGCACGGATACGTTCCGCTCGGGGGGCATCCGCGGACAAAAACGCCCTGTGTCCGCGGGGTCGCGGCCCAGGGGCCCGGCCCGAAAGGCCGTGGATACGCATATGCTCTCCGCTTAAGGTACTAGGAGGCTTCAGGTTGTCGAGGTGTTCGCGGGATCAGGGGGGCGCGCACGACCACCGTCAACTGCGCCACAAAGCTCCCCGCTTCCTCTTCTGGGGGGTGCGGGTTGGTGGGTAGTCGTAACCCAGTTGCGCTGATTCGTCATATGGCCGATTCTGGAAACCCTGAACCCAAAAATGCTTTCATATCTTGGGGGCGCATTTTTACTTCAGCCACCTTCCGCCGGCTTCCGCCGGTGGAGGCAACCTCGCTTTCCTTCCGCAAACCATCCGCCGCCCTTTCGCCGTCTTCCGCGGCTGAAGGGATGGCAACTCCTTCGATCCTCGGAAGCAAGGCCATCTTTGAAACGCCTCGTATATCAACCGACGGCTGTCCCTCCCGCGGAGCCCGCCTCCGACAGCCTCTTCGTGTCGACCACGTCCTCGGCCAGCCTGGCCGTCGCCGCGCGCTGCGCCTCGGCCCCGAGGGAGGCCACGCGCGCGCCCCGCGACGCCCGGACCCGCGGGGCCACGCCGCGGGCCCAAGCATCCGCCGATGGGGTTTTGGTCTCTTGTCGACTGGCGGTTTCCACTCGGTTGCGGCCCTCCTGTGCCATCTTCGGACCCCGAAGCCATCAAACATGAACCCAAGACGACCAACGACGCCCAGGAACGGGCCGGGAGCTCTGAGGCAGCGGGTTGCAAACATCATATCGGAGGATGTTTGGGACCATCACCGCACCGCTTCGGGCCCAACACCGTGCTGTGGCCTCAAATCTGGGGGGTAAGTGAGAAAGAGAAGGCCCTCTCGGAAGGCGGCGGGACTTCTCAAAAACCCTCGCACCTTCCGAAAAGTTTTCTGTGCATTCCGGGAAGGCTCAGAAAACTTCCCAGAAGGCTGGGAGACTTCAGACCCTTCTGAGGAGGCCCGCCTCCTCTCACTTCCCCACCTCGCTCGAGGCCGATCGTCGCCATGAGGGATTCGGGTCCTGAGGGAAACGGGTTCTGAGGGTGTTCACCGTGTTTGGCTCCCCAGGGCCCTCCACGGGGCCCGGGACTGGCAGGAACCGGCTCCTCTTCTCCTCCCTCCTCCCTCCCCTCACTCCCTCCCTCCCTCCCTCCTCCTCCTCCTCCTCCCTCCTCCTCCTCCTCCTCCTCCTCCTCCTCCTCCTCCTCCTCGTCCTCCTCCTCTTCCTCCTCCTCCTGGGGGGAGGCTCCAGGGTCCCAGATCCGTTTCCCTCTCCTTTTCCCCCATGCTTATCTTTCCGATCAACGATATCCTTCCCACTTCCCCTCCTCATCCTCCTCCTCCTCCTCCGACTCCTCCTCCTCGCGCCTCGGCCTCCTCCTCCTCCTCGTCCTCCTCCACCTCCTCCCCGTTTCCCCCATGCTCGGCTCCCCGGCTCGCCGCCGAGAATCTCCACTGACACTCTTTGGCGACGACCCCGTACCAAAAATCAGTGGACGTCCTGGGGTCTCAGGGTTGGGTTTCTTGCGGAAGGTTCTCCACGGCGCACCCCGCCAACCTCGGACCGCCCTCGAACCCCGAACATGCCTGGACCTCGAACCCCTCCCCTTTGGTTGACCCAACAGGGGGTCCAACTGAAAAGGGGTGGTGCAATAGATGTGGGGCGATTGCATTGAAAAATACACTGCGCTGGAAAATTGCACTGCCTTGTATTGCAACCGACCTATTGCACGCGAACATCCAGCAGTACTTCTGAGCACCAGAACGTAATGCACGCCCCAACTCAATGGCAGCCCCCACAGATTTACTGCTTGGAGATCGCTGGAGGGGCAGCGCTGTTTCCCACACTTCAGCTGCTGCGGCTTGCTCTTACACTGGGAGCACTGCCCCCTTCCCCGTCGCCCCAGGAAGATCAATCGTGCTGCCCCTCAGCCAGATCCAACCTATTCCACCAAACCTCCTGCACCACCCCCTTTCAGCTGGACCCCCTGCGGGCCCCCTTTCAGCTGGACCCTCTTTGGAATGTCCTGCACGCGCCAAACCTGCTGCAGCCCCACAAATCTGTTGCACCGACCCCTTTTCCGCTGGACCCCCTTGGCGGTCAACCAGGCGCTCCACACGCGGTGCAGCCACGGCGCGCGCGGGCGCCGGTCTCCGACACCGCACCAGGGGGGTCGCGCTCGGCCTCGGCGGCCTCCGCCGCCCGACGGTGCAGATCGCTGCCGGGCCTGACCGGCCCTCGAAGCAGCGCCAACGGATGGAGGTCCGACGCTCCAGCACAACAACTGGCATTACCAGGACTGGGTTCAGTTTATAGGTGCATTGCCTGTGCGAGTGATTTTAAGGCAGGTTCCGCCGCATTAGTGCTTATTAAAATGTCTATTAGTGTTTGGTACGGCGCCGTAAAACCATGCTCGCTGCAATGACGTGTTTCAGTGCTTCGGCTCAGTCTTCAGGTTCAGCCTGCGTGCTGGCTTTGGCGGAGCGGCCCCCTGAAAGGCAGACGGGGCACAAGTACACAGCAAGCGTGGAAGAACGTGCGCGCGCGGCCAGAAGCCATGCTTGTCATTGGCGACTGGTCAGGCTGAACCGACGAGGAGGACTGGGCCGGAGTGAAGAAGTGAAGAAGTCTCAGGCGAAACGCCCGGTCCGTCCTACGGGCACGTCTCGGGGGGCGACAGGGAGGAAAGGAGAAGAAAGAGGAGGAGGAGGAGGAGGAGGCGGAGGAGGAGGAGGGGAGGAGGAGGAGGAGGAGGAGGAGGAGTGGAAGCGGAGGAGGAGGACGAGGAGAAGAAGGAGGAGGAGGACAGGGCAGGACTGGGCTTCGTGGGACGATCAAAAAACTGGTTTTGCGCGACGATGGCACAGCGACCTCGCGCGGCGGCTTACTCACGCGGGCCGCCCGCACGGCGCGCCACGTGCAAAGGGAGGGCGCCTACGCGCGACCTCACGCGGGCAGCTTGCGCGCCAAGGTCGGCGCAGACGATCCCGTTCCTTGGCGTCGCTCAGCTAGGGGGCCACGTGCGAACCCTTCCCCTACCCCCCACGATTTCGGAGGGGGAGGGGGGGGGGTCACTTCGCTCGGGAGCTCCCAAACGAAGTGAACCCCACCCTCCCCCTCCGAAATCGTGGGGGGTAGGGGAAGGGTTCGCACGTGGCCCCCTATCAGCTGGACCTGGTTTCATGATGTGTGCTTGGGGACGCCTCCCCCGCCCAAGTTCGCCGACCGCAGCTGCCGTCACCCGAAAACCACGCAGGCTGCGGCAAACCTGGTTTAGTGATCCTGGCCCACTTGGGCAGGAGATCCCAGAATCGAATCGAGACGTCGGATCTGCGATCGACACGAATCGGATTGGCAGAAATCGGCAGGCTAGAAGGCCTCCATCGAGAAATCGAAATCCAAATCTGAATGCCGAATCGGCGGCATCAGAAGCCATCGGAATCGAAACCGCCGACCCCTTGTGGGTCTCTAGGCGTGTGAGATAGTTCCCCCCCCTATAGTCCCCCCCCAGGGACCCCAAACCGGCGATTTGACCCCCCCCCCCCGGGCCCGGGACGAGCGCCTCAGGCCCGGGACGAGCGCCCCCCCCGGGCCCGGGACGAGCGCCGCCGGGCCCGGGACGAGCGCCGCCGGGGCTTTGCCGGGTTCCAGGAAGCCTCAAGACGGGCCAAGATGGCCCCAAGAGGCGTTCAAAACGGCCCACGGGAGCTCCGAGACGCCAAACGAGCGCTCCAAGACGCCCAAGATGGCTCCAAGACGGGCTAAGAAGCCTCCAAGACGGCCCAAGAGGTCCCCAAGAAACCCCAAGACGCCTCCAAGATGCGTCCCACGAGGGTCCCTAGACGCAAAAATTGGCCCATTCCCCACGTAAAACGTACATTTTTCACGAATTCGCTTTTTTGGTTTTTCCGACGCTCCCAGACGGCCCCAGACGGCCCAAGAGGCCCTAAATACCGCCCCAAGACGGTCCAAGCAGCCTCCAGGGAAGCTCCAAGGCAGCCCAACAGAGCCCCAAGACAGCCCAAGAGGCGCCCAAGATTGCCCAAGAGGGCCCCGAAGACGGCCCCAAGAGCGCTCCAGGAGCGCTTCAAGTTGCCTCCAAGAGAGCTCAATATGGTCACAGACGGTCGAAGAGCGATCAAAGACACCGACGATCGCCTCCAGACGGCCCAGGACGGCCCCAAGAGGCCCCAAGAGGCCTCCAAGATGCGTCCCAGGAGGGCCCCTCGGCGCAAAAATTGGCCCGTTCCCTTCGTGAAACGTACTTTTTTCCACAAAGTTGCCTTTTCAGCTTTCCGACGCTCCCAGATGGCCCTGGAGGCCTCCAATACAGCCCCAAGGTAGCCCAGAGGCGTTCGAGCCGGGGTCATCCGAGCTCCGGTGGATCCCGGCTCGAACGCCGCCGGGGGGAGCAAAGGGCCCGAAAACGAACCAAGAGCGCACCAGAGCCCCCCCCCCCCGGGCCCGGGACGAGCGCCGCCGGGCCCGGGACGAGCGCCGCCGGGGCTTTGCCGGGTTCCGGGAAGCCTCAAGACGGGCCAAGATGGCCCCAAGAGGCGTTCAAGACGGCCCACGGGAGCTCCGAGACGCCATGCCTCTCAATCTTTTCTTCTGGCACTTGCCACTGCGCTGTAACGCCTGGCAGCTACGAGCAGTGAAGGCGGAAACGCGGCGATAGCCGCCGGTACGAATCAAGGGGTCGGCGGATGTGGCGTGAGCCTGGAGAATCTGAATGCCGAATCGGCGGCATCAGAAGCCATCGGAATCGAAATCGAATCGAATCGGGGGAATCGAAACGAGCCCTGTTTGGGGGGCTTCGGGGCCCAATTACCGACGGCTCCCCTTGCCCGGGGCCCTGGCTACACCCGAGAAGCCTTGAAGCGGCGGGTTCTGGGGCTCCGGCGGCCCTCGCCAGGCCTCGGGGCCGTCACCAGACGACCTGGGACGGAAAACCGGCCCTAGGGAAGCGGCCCTCGACATCGCTCAGGCGGCCGATCCCGTGCAGGTTTCGGCTTCGTGCGCTGATCTCAGGGCGGGAGGATCCAGGATGCTCCTCGATGGCCCTCGCCGAAACAACAGGCACACGTCCGAGCGATTCCGAGGGTCTGGACCTCCGGACCTCGGTGGACCGCCTTAGAAGGCATCCGACGTCTTGCCCCCAACCGGCGGGGCATTGGATGGCCTGCAGGAGCAGCGGCAGGGACTTCTGTGGCACAGAACTTCCTCCGGTTCTGCGGCAACTCGTGGCAGCCTGTCAAACCATCCTGTTGGATTTTGCGAATCAACGCTGGTCCGACGCCAATCGACGCTAGTCGATGCTAAACCGACGCCAATCAAGCTAAATCGACGCTATCTGATCGATACCAGACGCCCGTCGACGCTAGTGCCCCCTAGACTCTAGAGACGGAGTTGACATGGAATACAAGGCTCCTATGGTCTGCTACCGAACGCAGGCCTGCGGGCCGAGACCCCTGACCCAGGCGGGTGTGTTTACCACACCGTTTCCCAGACATGCGACGTCCTGAACTTTTCAATACGCGATCCCCGGACGGACGTCCCGACCCTTTCCCTCGGACCGGTTTCCTCCTCCTCCTCACTCGTGCTCTGACAATCTCCGGGCCCTGCGAGGGCCCCCAGGGGCCGAAAGCGGCCAAAAAACGTCCGTCTTGCTTTTTCCCAAGCCATCCTTTGGTGTTATGTCCTCGTTTTGAAGAGACAGCGCCCCGCGTTCCTTCCTCTCCTCCTCCTCCTCCCCCTCCTTCCTCCTCTCATCATAATCGTAATCACCCGTTTCGGCACACCCCTCGCACGCTTCGTGGCCCCATAGTAGGGAGGTCCACCGAAGGCCCCAGTGCTACCGTCCACACGCGTCCCCCACACCCATTTCGACACCCCCCTCACACGTTTCGTGACCCCAGAGGGAGCTCCACCGAAGGCCCCAGTGCCACCGTCCGCATGCTCCCCCACACCAATTTCGACACCCCCCTCACACGCTTCGTGGCCCAATAGGGAACTTACGCCGCGATCATGTCTGGGTTGGGGGCCACGCGGCCAGCCTGGCCCGGCACCGCCCCCAGGGCGGCCTGCAGCTCGCCCTGTGCGGCCGCCAGCTGCTCCTCGGCCCGCGCGGCGCCCGCGCGCAGCGCGGCAAGCTGCCCGGCGGGGGCCTCGCCGCGGCGACGGCGGGGGCGACGACGCCGCCGACGACGCCGACGCCGACGCCGACGCCGACGCCGACGCCGACGCCGACGACGACGCCGACGCCGACGCCGACGCCGACGACGACGACGACGACACCGACGCCGACGACGACGACGACAACGAAGACGACGACGACGACGACGACGACGACGGCGACGACTACGACGACGGGGGCGGCTGCGGCGGCGGCGGCGGCGGCGGAGCCCAAGATGGCCCTGAGATATCTTCAAGATGGGCCGAGATCCCCCAAGTTCCCAGGTGGCCTCAGGATGGCCTCAAGGTCGCCCAAGAGGCCTCCAAGACGGTCCAAAAGGCCTTCAAGAGGACTTCCAGGAGGGGGGGAGGCTCAGGGGCAACATCAGGGGCAATGGAGAACGAGTCGGGAAGATGTAGGACTCAGGCTCGGGGACTCAAATTGGCCTGGCGAGATCGTCAAAACATGACGAGACCCAATCTGAAAGTTGACGTGGGCTCCCGCTTCAGTCATCCCACGAAAACTGGACCGTCAAAACTCCTCGACAGGCTCGTCAAAAAACGTCGTCAGACCCGAGTCCTGGCGAATTTGAGTGTTACGTCTCCCTGGAACAAGTTGAAGTTGGAGGTACTCGGGCCGTCTCATCGGCCTTCAGCCTTTTTCACGCGTCCTGGACGTGTTCGGGCGTTCTCCTGGCAACACCTCTAATCGGAACGCACTCCTGGAAGGGGGGCAGGGGGGGGGGGCTCGGGGTTCGAGGTCTTCGTGCGTTTCCGTTGGTGCTCGGCGGTCTTCCAGCCTGGGCATGCTCTCCGGCAGCTGCGCCCTTGCGTGTGCGTTCCAGCGGGGCCCCGATCGTCCCGAGCCACCGCCAGAGGCCCGAGCCATGGCCCGAAAACGGGCCGACGAAGCGAGCGGGCGGACCAGCGGGCGGGGGGCAGGGACTATAGTCAGGTCGGGCATGTGCCCCTACAGGCGGATTTTGAAGGCAAAATCAAAAGGACTCCACAAATCCTCCAGAATAGTCAAAAGATGCTCAAAAACTCATCCCCAGACTACCTTTCAAACTAGTTTAGAATATTCATCCTGAAGAGGGACGGGCCCGACTTAAGACTAGTGGAGCGAAGAATGGCATCAACATAAAACTCGGAGGTCCGCGCGGATTTCTTGGATCGGCGCTGGGGCCCCCTGGCGGCGCCTCCAGCGCCGCCCCTGAAGCGCTCCGCGCGCCAGGGAGGGGGCACGAGCGCCGATCCGAGAAATCCGCGCGGACCTCCGAAATGTGATTTTTATGTCATTGTTCGTTCCCCTATTGGAGGCCGCAGTCGCCCGAGACATCCTGGGAGAACGACCCGAGTGCCAAAACCGGGCGGTCACACCGAATCCCCACTGATTCACCACACGGCGTGGTTCCCACCGTGATTCACCACGGCGGCTCAAGGCTGCGTGCGCCGCCGCCTTTCTGGGGCTGTACAGTCGAAACGCTGTCACAAGGAACTCTAAACAAGGAACGAGGCCGCATATTTCCCATAAGCTAAACTCCGACTTCCCATAAATAGCCCAAGGGCAAGCTGACACAAGCTGTAAAACAAGCAAAGAGCACAGAGTCCCTCCCCAGCGAAAGGGGTTCCTGCTGCAGCGGCTGGGGCTGTACGGGCCGACTGCATGCGAACTCGTGCAGGCGCTTTGGGCACCCTCCTCGGAGGTGGGCCGAGCACTCCGCGCGTGGTCGGCTCTGGCGTTCTTCGCCGGGCACGAGGCCGCACCGTCTGGCGGCCACCGCCCAGGCCCGCCAGAGGAGACCCAGAGCGTCGAGAACCCTCTCCAGGGGAACGACCAATGATATGAACATAAAAACTCGGAGGTCCGCGCGGACCTCCGAGTTTTTATGTTCATGTCATTGTTCGTTCCCCTACTCTCGGTCCTCGGTCCTCCCGCCTCGGCTTGCAAAGAAGGCGGTGACCCCTGTAATCGTGACACACCATGTGGTCGATCAGGTCAAAAGGAAACCAGACAATACACAGGACAAGAAATGGATGGACGGTATGGAAAGCGGGAAGCGCACGATGAGATCAGCGCAGCAGCGGGACCGCGGAAATGAGACCAACGCTGCAGTGGGAGCACCAGTTGGAAGGACTCGAAGCGCGGAACCGAAGCCAACGCCGCAGCAGGAACAGACTTTGGAAGAACAGAGACAATGAAAGGAGGTCAGCGCTGCAACGGGCACATGATGTGGAAGAACAGAAGACGGGAAAATCGAGCCAACGTTGTAGCGGGGGCGCCAACCTGAAAGGATCGAACACGCTCGGATAGGACAAAAACAGACGAATTCTCAATTCGGTGGCATCCTGCGTAAAAAACATTGCGCGGAGGCGGCCAGAAAACCTCACCAGCGTGTGCGGGAGGAGAGAGGAGAGTAGTATTCATACTGTGTAAAACTTCTGAGGGAGGAGAGGAGGGGGAGGAGGATGGTCGAGGAGGGGAGGGAGAGGGGAAGGGGTGAGGCAGGACCGAGGGCCAAAGCAAGATCGAGGAGGGACGATCTCCCTGGCGGGGGCTCGCTGGGGCGCCCCGATCTTCGTCGCCGCCAGCGCCGTTGTCGCCGCCGCAGGGGGATGGCCAAATGCCTTGGGCCAACCTGGGCCCAGAATAGACCCCTGGGAAGAGACGGTCGGCCCGCAAGGTGGCCTCGGCCCTGGACGAGGGCAACACTCGGGTGCTGCCAGAAGTGTCGCCTCCTCCGCTTCCTCCTCCTCCTCCGCCTCGGCCCTGGACGAGGGCAGGACTCGGGTGCTGCCAGAAGTAGTCCTTGCCCAGCGGGCAGCAACATTACGGGGAGATGGGCTCGGGGGAAGACGCATCGACCCCCAACCGCCCGCCCCAGTGGGCGCGATCGCATGCGCTACCGCCACACAGATCATAGGCATACACATCACACGTATTGTGCCCCATGGCGAGCTCCAACTACGGCCCCGTAGAGGCGGTCGCATGCGCTACCACACCCCATCCCGACACATCCCATCACTTGTTTTGACCTCGGCAGGTCTCACCGCTTCAATGACTTCTCGCAGCAACAGCGGGCGCTGCAGCGACTAAAATCGCAGCTGCAAAGAAACACTGATCAATTATCTTAAAACAGCTGCGAATGAGAGGTGGGTGTGCCTGGGCGCTCCACGAGGCCAGGCAGCAGAGACCCACCTCAGGGTGGCCCCTCACAGGCACACAGGGACCCAGGGGACCCTGCTACACCTGGACAAAGGGCCGAAGTCTGAGGCACGGCAAGCACTGAACCACCGTCCTCCTCACAAGGCTAGGAGGAGGCCCTCTACACGGGAGGGCGACCAAAACCAAAAGCCCGCCAAAGTTAGGCGGGGAGCAAGGCCACCTGCAAGATCCTGCAAGTGGAAAAGCAGCACAGGCCGTCAGACCTCGACTGAACAGGAGGACGGGCGGATTTCAGCCAGAGCGCTGGGCTGCGAATGTGTTGGGGCTAGGAGCCTGAGCTCCAGTCCACAGCAGCACCTCCAACTAGGGACAATGGGGCGGATCGCCCTCATATCCCCAAGAATAGGCACCTCCACGCGCAACGAACGCGCGCACACACACGAACGAAAGGAGGGCCAGGCGCTGGGGCCAGGGACAACTCACCTGGCCACTGCATACGCCATTGGAGCGACAGTCGGGATAAACTTGCCCCCGTGCTCCTCTGAAGGAGAACCTTCAGGATGTGCGCACATCTTCCCCCTGATGCGGGGTGCCTGACGCGCGTGCGAACACGAAACGACACAAGACGCACAAGATGGCCTAACACAAGGACGACGAGGCCTGCCCCAGATGCTGATGCGCCTGGACGACAAAGCCTCGCCCCAGATGCAGAGCCAATGCATCGCGAAAGATAACGAGGGCCGAGGGCCACGCACAAGATAATATTCGACCACCCACGCAAGGGCGACGAGGCCTCCAGCCCCTGGTGCAAGGAGCGCCAGGACGACTGGAGGCCCCGCCCGCCCCAGATGTGGGGTAAAGCACGGATGCCTGCCAAAAGGGCCAGTCGCATCGGGCCGTGCTATAGAGAGAAAAGCCAAACAGCTCTTAGAACAGTTCGAGCACATCATGAATAGAAACTGTCACTGGCCGACGTTTTTCGTGGGGATGCAAGCCGCGGCAGAGGTAATTCCAGCCAGCCCCAGCACGTCTGGATGGTTTACCCTCGCACCGCTCTCCAAGGCCTTTGACCCTGCTTCCAGCCGAGTGACATTTGCAACGCACACATATGAAGAGCACAGAGCCATCTGAACAATGAAATACTATGACTCTATGCCCTAAACTTTGGAGAACATTATCGTCTAACTTAGACCTATTGCTACACCTGCCTGGAGGGGGCTCTTGCGGGGGCCTTTTGCCGAGCAAGCACTGGGAGCGCTTCCAAATTCCAGACCACTTCTTCCAGGCGCGTGAGGTCTGAGGGTGGCAAGGGGCGGCAGGCACAGGCACATAGGGAACGTCTAACGACGACTTAGGCCAGAGCGGCAGCAGATTGGCAGCAATAACGCAGTAGGCACGGGCAGTCACTAAAGCGCCCACTTCCAAATGTAATGCTGCATCAGAAGGGTGCAGCTGGAGGCCATGCTTGGCACCAGCATCTGCATCTCTATTACCTAGGCGCAGAAATCTTTCACGCACGGAGATGCCTTCTTCGTCCACGTCTCCGTGAGCCCTGACCTTGACGATGGACTGACTGTGATCTCCTTCCTCATTATTCGCATTTAAACCATACCTGAATATGAGCGCTTGCCCGAGTAGCGCTCGGGAATGGGCAGCAACGAGTGGTGCGCAACGTTAGCACAATCACTATATAAGACCGAGGGGTAGCAAACAAACTGAACAACAACACATCTGGCAGAGTCCTCAGCGGCTTGTGGTGTTTGGGGGAAGTGGGCCCAGACTGGGCCTCTGACCTCTCCAAGGCACTTCCCGTCATCCGAATTCATG